GAGTATCTGTTTGCAGAGGCTACTTTTCAAGACCCTGGAAGGCGGAAAGGGGGTTGTTGTTTCAAATGATCTTCCTGGAGGTTGCTTGCCGCAGGGCTCTCGCAAATCTTTAGGCACAGCCCTGCACTTTGAACCTACCCTAGGCCCCTTGAACCCTAGACCGCCAAACCCCAAGGCCCCCACATTAAACCTGAAAGCTAGCACCCTCAACCCTACACCAAAGGCAGATGACGCGGCTCTGGGTACTTCTTGCTTTGCTGTCAACTCTGGCTTTGTCCAGCGAGGCATTGCTCATTCGCTTTTTGTTTAGGGCTTGGGGTTAGGGATATTGACTCCAATAATGACAGCCGTGCTCGTTTGGAAAATCAAATGGAAACTACCTATTGTATTACGTAACGTGTATGTGGGCATATATAGGGTCTAGGGGTCGTTTTTTGCAGCCTAGTGTTCTACCTCCCAAATATACATTGTAATTCCTCCTTCTATGGCGATCCCTGATAGGGATCCCTAATTTTTTGACCTTCTCTCCCCCTTGAGGGATATTGCAAGGGCTGCTTAGGGTTTGGCATGCAGGCTTTCGGACATGTGACATGTGCGTGTGTTTTTCGGTGAGCTGTTGAGGATGATGTCAGTTTGTGTGGATTATAAACGATTAGAGGCGTCGTTGAGAGATTGCAAGCTCAAAAGAGCCCTCAAGCTCGAACCCTGCACATTCAAAAGGGGGGCAGAACTTGAATTTCCAAGTCAAGGGGTCATTGGTAACTGGACCTCCGACGTTGAGATGGACTCATGGTTGGGAGTTTGCGTAGCGTGTGTTGAGGGAACTTTTTCAGGGTTGAGTATACATTCAAGCAACGTTGAACACATAAGAGAGCTCAATGGAACATTTGTAGATCTTAGGGTGTCAGGGCTTGACAGGCCTAGGTGTTTGGAACAGCAAGTTGGCTAGACAAGGAAGCCTAGAACCATCGGTTTTTAGGGTTGCAGAGCTTCAGGGCCGAGGTGTGATATTGATGCATCCACCCCAAACCCCCCCTTGGTTTAGAGACACATCTTGGGCATCATCTGTTCAAGATGTTTGCATGCCTGCCCCTATTCTACTTCTTTCGATGAGTTCGTGAATGGATTCAGATGTAGAGGTACATCACCTGGGCTGCTGCTAAGTAACTGGAATTCTCATCGTATGGACATAGTCAGTGCATGGTATGGTTTCCTTATTAGTATAACGGAAAATAGATTCCTTCACAGCAACCCATGAGTCATTGAGATCATACTTACCCGAAAAATCCTGAAGAAAGCAACATGCCATGAAACCACACGCAAATGGTTCTTCACTCTATTGTCGCCTTGTATGCCGCCAGATCCCTATCTAAGTCCTAGGGCGGTGAGCCCGAGGCTCCCACAAGGGCCAATCCTTCGAACCAAGGGCGATGCCCCCGCTCCTTGGGTTTTAGGGTTTAGGGTGTAACCATCAGATACATAGATGCACAAAATGAACGCAGCGCTGCCTCATGAAGCGCTGCTCTTGCGTGGGGGCAGTAGCGTGCTATAGTCCATGACTCCAGCCCGAATGCAGGACGAAGAGACAGGCCGGGGGCGCTGCGGGATTGGGGTTACATTCTTTGCTGAGGGAGCATGGCCCTGGCTTTCAAGTTTGCAGGTTCATTTGGGGTCGGCACGTGGGTTTTTGTTTGAGGAAGAGCCCCCTACAACTTGATGATGCTTCGCACAGTTTTGTCGATAAGGAGCAGTGCAGGGTCCTTATCGGGGTCAAGCGATGTGTAGGCAAATGGTTGTCGACCTAAACCCTAAATCATGAATCTATGTAACCCTATATATCCCTATATAACCTTAGATGCCCTCATATCTCCCAAGCCCTAAGCCCAAAGTCATAAAACGCCATTGGTTCGTATTGCCAGGGCCCTTGAAGATCGAGACCTTTGCATGGAAGGGCGGTCACGATGTACAGCGCTTTGTGACTACGCTCCATGAGGACATTCTTCAGAATGGGAGAGAGGGGTTTGGGGACTGGGGAATAGGGTTGAGAGGCGTCTAGGATTCAGGTTTACAGGAATAAGCGCATATCTTTCTTATGCTCGTTCTTCTGAGTCCTGCTTCAATGAAACAAGCGCCGTGGATCGTTGTCACAGGCACAAAAGGCTGGAGCCTTTAGCCCCTAAGAAACTGACAGGGAACCTTCTTTTGAATCGACATGAGGGGCTCCTGTTCATTTTGCTTTTAGGTCTTGGGCTGTGGCTTTTGTGGTTTAAGCTTCCGAGGTACAGGAGAGGAAAGCCCTCAAAATACGGGTGGACATCTCCGAAAATCTCTGCCTGTGTCGATTCAAAAGGATATACACTTCAGAAAGCTCATGTGTGTTTTGGGCAGTTGCCATCTGGCTCCAAGAAATGTGAAAAACAAGCACCTCAGCAATGCTTCCCAAAGCCCTCGGTTCAGGAGTGGTAGCATGTGCAACAAACCATCACTTTTTACGGCAATTCCCCAAAGTTTGGTGGCAGGAGCAAAGTTCACCCAATACCCAAGCCTGCCCTTAACCCTAATCCCTAAACCCTAATCCCTAAACCCTAAATCCCGATCCCGAAACCCTACTCCCTGGACCCTAAACCCTACTCCCTGGACCCTAAACCCTGGCCAGGATCATGAGGATGTCAAGAAAAGCTGGCCTCATAGCAAGCAAGCCTCAGTCTCGGGGTAGGGTTTAGGTTTTAGGGTTTAGGGTAGGGTTTAGGGTTTGGGATTTAGGGTTTCGGGATCGGGATTTAGGGTTTAGGGTTCAGGGTTTAGGGTTTAGCAGTTTAGAGTGTAGCAGTTGGAGGCATGGCAGATAAGGCTCCCCTTCCAACGTTGCGCTTCCTGTTCCTTTCATCCTCGTTGCATTTTTATCTCATACCCCTGATAGTAAGGGGATTCTCCTTAATAATGAATATTCCCCCCCGTAACCCTGGTACGTAATCTCGTATTGAGAAATGTTATTCTTCAGGGTGGCTCGACGGTTGTTATTAAGGTAGGGGATTGCTTAAGTAGGACTGCAGGGTCAAGGATGGGGAGTCCATGTCATGTGGAGAGGAGTAGCCCCAAGCCTTAGTCCAGTTCCATCTTCTGACTCAGGGATGAATCTATGAACCCTAAACCCTAAATTCCCAAGGTTGAGCCTCTATTCTGAGCCTTTATTCTGGTCCCACAATGTAACCCCACTATTCCCTTACAATTGCCCTCGAAACCCATTGTCTAGTAGCCCCCACCCCATGGCCCGGCCAAGCAACAGCTTTGTAATCTGGCTTCCGCAGTTCAGACCTCAGGCTGCCTCCTTCTGGGGATTCTCGTAAGAAGGATTGATTGAATTTGAGGGTATCCCCCTGGCATTTCGAAACTCCAGAATCCTGGCCTCTTGGGCGAAGTGCAGGAGAAGGAGGCGATAGCTTAAATCTTGAATTTTTTGAGCCCTTAGCAATGTATGCTCTGGTCCTGTAGGGCTCCAGAAGGCCAGGAGCTTACACTCCTGAACCCTAGAACCTGGATTCCCTCAACCCTAAAACTTAAAAACCCAAACCTGCGAATCCCGAACCCTATACAAGGCCCAAAACCCTCTAAATCCTCAAACTCTTAGTCCTGAAATCATCTACCTGAAAAAGCCTGCAGTATTCAACTCTAAGAGCTAAAGACCTGAAGCACTAAACCGCGTCCCGTCGCCGTTTTGGCTTATAGGGAGGGCGATTGGCAACTTGACCCGCCCGACCAGCTCGTGTCGAGCAAGCACCTCATCTGAAAAGAACAAGTTGAATTCTCAAGATACAATGTGGTGTAAAGGTGTATAAGGGAGTATGTAGTGCTCGTTGATGTAGGAGTATGTAGTGCTCGTTGCAGGGCTATTGTGCCAATAGTTTGGATTATATGGAGGTTCACAGAGCTTAGAGTTTCCAAAGATTAGGAATCCCATGCCATAAGCGCGCATACAGTTTGATGCCTCGGGCTTCAACAGAGGTACGACTTTCACGTTTCAGGCACGCAATGGCTAATTTTTGCCTTTGAGGTTGTTCGCTCTCTCTTTTTTCGCGGTGCGTATTTTCTTTCCTGGTGATTCATCCTCAAGGCACATAAACCCATGATACGTTCCATGCCCCTAACCCCAAACCCCTACACCTTGAACCCTAAAGCAGACATGCTAGGTCCCATTTTCCTTTCCATTCTCCTTACATACCCCTAGAGGTCCTCCATTTCCCCAGGCCCCCAGTACATGTAGCAACAAAACAGCGAGGTACCGGACACCCGTCTGTCTGGTCATCCCGCAATGGTTGCCGACTGAGACTGGTTTTGTGGCCTCCAAGCTGGGTTTAGGGCTGATACCGGTAGACCCCTGATGAAGGACCTCCTTACCTTCCTGCGTTCAAGTCCTCGTAGAACATGCGTTCATCAATGCTTGGGCAAGGGTCTACTTGGGAGGTTTCTTGGATTATCTACTTGTACAAATATCCGCACTGCATTCCATGCGCTTCCAATCCAAGAGGGGAATTGGTGCATGTGGCACATGTGCATCATTGCTCATGGCTACTGTTTGCAAGAGGCACAACGTCGTACATATGATTGAAAACAGTCTCCAAGTTTTTCGAACAAACTTTAAGAAAACGTACAAGGATCCCGCATCATTGGCTTAGAGTCACGTACCCCGAAGGTCCTTAGGAAACAAGCTGGTGAGATACCCTGAGCCCTAAACCTTTATGCTCCTGCGGCACATGAGCTTGGAAGACTTCGCAGTCAGCGCCATGATCACGGCAAAGGGGTCCCTTATGCTAAGGGTATGGATCTATTGGGGTCTATTTTCAGAGACAGAATCGTCCAAGAAATCCCGCCACTGAAAAATCAGTGTTTTTTGGGTTCAGGCTCTTGTGTGATCCATGTTCTTAATGAAGCCGTCTGCATGAGTGGGACACCTACACCTCGTTCTCATCGTTTAAGCCCTTGCGTTGGTTACATGTCCTCAGGTCATGAAAGTCCTGCTGGGAGCTCAGGGTTCGGGTGGGGTGACTATTGGGGATGGGGGGTTGGGGTTTAGGGATCAGGGTGCAGGGTTTAGGGTTCAGGGTTTGGCATTTTGGCTGTTTAGGACAGTCGGCGTTTGGGGGGTTTAGAGGCCATTCTTTGGGTTTGTTGCTTCAGGGTCTCCCGGGAGAAGCTGAGGGGTAACATAGGGGATATACTGGGGTTATAAGTTATAGGCCCTCATTCAGCAGAATGGACATTCTCAAAGCAACCCCCGACGGAATCCTAAGCAATAAGATACACCTGCGAGGGCCATGTTGAGCTACACAAAAATGGATGCAGTTAGCCTTGAGCGCAGGTGTTTTTGGAGATCCCCAAAGTACTCTCAAAGCAGCATCGCACCCCTGTGGTCTCCATCATCCGTTTGTGACACTGACACCATGGGTCATTATAGGGGCTATATTGGGGTTATTGGGATAATGGAAGTAAAATGGGAACTACTACAATAGGTTATATAGGGGTTACATTATTTTCTCGTTTGTCCCATCTCCCCTTGAATGCTAGGTGCCTGTTTTTGCAGTTTGCCGCCGCTTCCGCGTCGCGCGACTGGCTGGGCCCGTTCCAGCGGCTGCAGGTCTGGACTCACAATCATATACCTGGCGAGTTGAAAATTATGTTCTCGGGTTTCGGGGTTTAGAAACGGTTGATTTTGACAATCCTGCATATGGATGATTGTCAGCAGTATGGTCTTCTGGGAAGCCGGCGACCCAAACGGGATGCTGCAGCCACCCATGTATGCAGGGACTATTTGGGGGTTATTTCAGCATGGAAGAGGTGAGGGGGGTTGCACGTAAGGTGTACCGGAGGTGACACTTCGTCATACAACAAGGCTAGATGAGCATGTGGGAATTTAGGCGTTCTTCACCATTGAGCAGGGTTTACTAAGATTTCCCCAGGCTAATCGACGGTTGTTGGATTTCAAAACAGCAGTTTACAGTGTGAGCTGTAGTCGCAGCCCGAAGTCCGCAACAGGGTTAGTTCACCTTGGCTTTTGGGGCTTTTCCCGTGCAGTTTCCAAGCTAATAGCAAACGAACAAGTTGAAGAAATGGGGCGCGGGCTATGTGGTATGTGGACACTACAGGACGCAGTTCATAGGCCGATCACTTTTTCGCTCCATGCATGGACCGTTTGAGGGGATGACGGTTGCACGGTTAGCAATGATGCTTGAGGGAACAAGTTTGTGGAAACTTCTTACTTCTCAGACGCGAAATGTTTCCTTTCCTCTTTTAGGGAAGAGTGTTGGGCATCATTTTGATTGGGGCTGTCGGGGAGTTTAAGGTTCCAGGTGCAAACTAAGGATTTGGCAGGGCCTACGCAAATACCAGCCAGACATCTCATTATGAAGTTACCTATCGTCAAGACAACCTTGTTCTCCACATCTTTGGTCATTCCCCCTTAAAGTAACTGTCATTAAAGCGGCCTTGCTAAGGGGCTTCTATAAAAAAGCCCTATTCCAAAATGGCCACTGTTACTGTAAGGGGGAATGACCCAATCCATATCGAGCCCCTGGAGAAGTGCCGTTGATTCTGTGCAAAGGCAACCCCGACCCTGAAAGCTTCAACAAGGCTCAGCCTAGAGAAACTCTACAAATTGCAGTTGCACTGCTACTCCTTAATGAACACGATAAAAACCTGAGCCATGTTTCGTGAACCCTACACAAGACCCAACAGAGATCCTACATCCAAGCCCTCAAACTCAAAATCTTCAGCCCTTCCTGCTTTATGCTAACAAGCACAAAGCAGCGTTCACATTTCTGAGAAGCCCTCTTTTCCCCTGAGCCCTCACTTCTAAACCCTGGACACCCTAAACCCCCAAATCCTGTCAGTACAAAATGCCCATCAAGCACGATAGGTGGATAGTCTTAAGCTCCCTCAAGCTAAAGCCAATTCCAGCTACCCAAAACTCCAAAGATGTAAACGCTTGAAGGCCAAGTAGTTCCATAGCCCCTAGAGCCAGAAAACCCTGTAACTATACAAGCCCTAAAAGCCTATGATTCAAGTCCCCATAGAGGCCCAAAGCCCAGTAACCATATAAAGATATATCCCCTAAAACGCCATAGTTCAAATCCCCCAAAAGGCCCAAAGCCCTGCAATCATATTATATGACCCTTACAAAAGCCATTGTGTAAACCCCCTTAAAGCCCCGAAGGCCTTGAGCCCTAAACCCTAAAGCCAAACCCTAAACCCGAAAACCCTGAAGGCCCAAAAAGGGACCGATGTATCATCCCACCAGGTAAGCTCTCCAATGGTCGTTCACGTCATTACCGACCCTTCGCGACAGAAGGTGCAGGGCAAGGGGATGATGCAGGTTTAGGGTTTAGGGTTTGGGGGAAATGGGAAAGATTTTTTTAGAATTGTTGTGTTTGGGAGGTTTGGTGGTTGAAGGTTTTTGAGTGGGACCCTTTAGCAAGGGAAAAAATATTTGAATCAGATCCTTTTGGGGGTCCACCGCAGCGTAGAGTCGATGTTTCGGGGTCCCGAAACCCCTAAAGGCCGTTAAGCCCAACACCTAGTCTAAAAAACCGTAATGACTTCATTCTAAACGCCTAGCAGGGAATAAGGTCATATACTCCATGGGGATTATCTTCTTTTGCTTCCTACTAGCCCCCAATAAGCTAACCTTAAGCCCTGAACCCTAAACCCAGAGACCGCATTGCAAAAGACTCAAGGCAGATCCAAATAAAACCTAAACCCTTTAACCCTAAACCCTTAAACCCTAAACCCGTAGACCCTTAAACCCTTGAACCCTTGAACCCTAAACCCAAACCTTTAAATCCTCAACCCTAAGCCCAGTCAATGCCAGGCTGATCTCAACATTGCGGCGGACTCCATGGGCTTGGGATGGACAGTGCAGTCCGAGGCCCTTTGGGCGGTTTTTTTGCACAAGGATGTAGGTAGGGGTTCAAGGCTTAGAATTTGGGTTTGAGGGTTTGGGGCTTACGTTTAGGGTTGGGATGTAGGCAGGGGTACAGGAGGGATACATATGGATAGGTATAGATGTAGAGTGATGTCTGGGGACGGAGGGTTTTAAGCAGGTGTAGGAAGTTTCGGGTTCAGGTGTGGGAGTTTGGGTTTGAATCGCTTGGGTAAACTCGCTAGAGACTACGGAATGAGCGGGTAGCACAATCGCATCACGCTAACATTGAACAACCCCCCCTCTCCCCCGACGCTAATATTCAAAATGCTCTCCAATACATCAGGCCTCTTGTGGCATATTTCGTGTGAAGGGATTGAGAGGTTTTACGGTTGAAAAGTCTGTAGCATCACCATTAATCATATCAGGGTTTTTTTCTTCTGCTAACGATGCCATTGCTATCAGCATGGCTATTGTAGTTGTTACTGCTATCGTTACAAGTATCAGTCTTGCTACTCCGATTCTGAGAGAAACGTATCCCCTACCCTCAAACCTACACCCTCGAACCCCTAAAAAAGTATCAGGTCCAACCAATGACTTTCGGTTCCACACTCTTGCTGGGAATGGACCAGCGAGCCGCCAGGAGGGGGTTTCTGCACAGCTTGGGTTAAACGAGTTTGGGGTTTAGGGTTTTGGGGTTCAGGGTTGAGAGTGTAAGGGTTTAAGCCAATTGTATAGAGTGGGGGGTTGTGGGGAGTAGACGTTATTGTAAAGCTGTATGCGAATTATTGGGGATACTTTTACAAATTCTTCGAGGTTCTACCTGAATGGGGTGACGGAGTCCTCAGGAGTAAAGATCGGGGTTTTGCACCTGAGGACCTGAATGAGGTGGGTCCATATGGGGTTTCCCAAAATTACAGACAACACTCTGGGGGTCCCTAAGGTAAGTGCTATAGTATATTGGGACCTATATTGGAATCCCCCTATTCAGGGAAGTTGCAATATACTCTCCAAGTAAAGGTCTTGGGTTTGTGCTCAAGTTAGGCGTATGTGCCTTGAAGACAGAACCTAGTTTAGATACAGTTGCAGCTTTCTAGCTGTTTTTGTAGTGACGTATTTATACCGTGTTGTCGGGTATGAGGGTGGGTGCTTTCTTAGGCCCCGATTTTGGGAACGCCAAGTATGCAAAGCTACGAAACAGGCAAGATTTCGCTTGGCCGGAAGGCGGCCAGATCGCTACGCCACTTGGATGCAGATTTCATGGTGGGTGTTGAGGTTGCAGAGTTGAGGGATTTAGGTGTTTGGTTGTCTTTTATGATGCAGTATTCAGCCGCGTGTAAAAACACACAAGGGTGTGCTTCTCAACGAGGGGCGCATTGTGGCATTATTATTAAAGTCCCATGATATGAGACGTGGTTGTTGTAGAGATGATCAACAGCGTTGTTCCCCTAGAATGAGGTCCACACGCTGTGCATCTAGGATGATATGGGGTTCTCCATGAAGACGAATAAAGCGGGTCCCGATTGAAAGAAAACCCCCAACCGTGCACATCTCTTTATATCCCTAAATGTCCCAATATGCCCCTTTCTGACTCCATGTAACTCTATAGAACCCTATTCTCACATATCCTTAAATTAAATGCCCCAATATTTCCCCTTTTAACCCTATGTAACTAAACCCTAAAGCCCCTGTTTGGGATCGTTCTTCGCTGAGGCTCAGAGTGCCTAAGTGGCTCGAGGCCGTTTCGGCCACAGGTGGTGCCAAGGCATCCTGCGTGGGGTTATGGTTTGGGGTTTAGGG